CCGCAGGACTCCTTTGAGGGCGTGGATGAAGAGGAGTGGGTAAGAGCGGTGCTGGGAGGGTTGCACTCTTGCTGGGTGGGTGGGGGGAGCCTGGCCACTGCCAGCTTCTACAAGCCCAGAGAGATCCGACTCTTCTCTCTTGCGCTCACTTGAGAGCAGCAGCCAGGAAATGGAAGGACCTGCCTCCTTTACTTCGGGTGCTGAGCCACAGAGGGTCGGCTAGGACCAAAGCTCTCTGACTGTGGAGGGTCTTTCTCTTTGGAGGGATGAGCTTTGTTGCACTGCCCACAAAAGAGCTGACCCTGGCATGTGACTGCAAGCAGCCATTCCGACATTGCTCAGCCTTGTCCATCTCTTCCTGCTCCTCAGGACTAACTGCAGCCACTGGAACAGACCGATGCTGCCTCCTCAGACCCTGGGATGGAAGGAGCATCAGACTCAGGCTGCTCCCCTGGGCTCCTCCAGGCGGTTGGCTTCTCCCCTACTTGCTGCTTCTGCTCAGGGGCTGCCCTCCTGCAGGGATGAGGACTCGGACCACCTGTTTACAGTCACCTGGTGAAGCCACCCTCGCTTCCTGAGGACAGCCACGGCTTCCCACCAACAAAGGGGCCCTTGGGGTCTGTCCTTGGCAGGAGCCTTTTCATTCCATCTCCAGTGTGCGAGGCCCCTTCTCGGCTTGCTGCTTTGAAGCTGGTGGGCCAGTTGCCTAGAAGTGTTCCACCTAGGCCAGGCTGCAAGCTTCCTCAGGGCTCATTCACTGCCCACATGTGCCCAAGTCATTCCAGGCTGGCATCCTGAAACTGGAGAAGCCTTTGCTCACCAGCCTTCTTCCGCGGAGGAAGCTCCTTTTTCCAGCTGATTCTGCCTCGCTAGGTGTAGCCCTAACGCAAAAACCTCCTTCCTCCTCTCCCAGCGCCTCCCGAGTCTTTATTCCTTCTCCGGTGCGGCTTCCCGGACAGAAGGAGGCGGTCCCGCGGCTGCCTCTTCGGGGCGGGGCGGGGGGGAGAGGGCTCTCTGCTCCGGCTTCCTTCTGTAAGGGAGAGGCAGCAGCTCACCGCCTGCTGTCGCTGCTGGGGGGGCGGGGGGCGGGCAGGGTTGCGCCTGGGCTTTCTGGCAGCTTGGTGGGAATCTTCCCTAAATTCACGGATTTCACTTCCCCAGTTCTGCCGCCCGGAAAGCGGTTCCGAGCCTCTGGGTCGGCCCCTTAGGAGAGAGAGGCCCTTCCTTTGGGCAGCGCCCACCCCAGGCTCACGAGCCGCTTGGAGGCAAGTTCCCTGCGGGTGCGGTCAAGGGGCGCCCCCGGGGCGAGTTGGGCGCAGCTCGGCCCTACCTCCCTGGGTCTCTCGGCGGGAAGGGGGGCTGGACGGATGCTCCGCGCGCAGCTGGCCCGAAGCTTTCCGGGCCGCCTGCCGGGCAGAAGGGGGCAGCGCGGGCCGCCCCGGAGCGATCGCTAAGCGCGAAGGCACCGCGACTCCCGCCCCCTCCCCCATGCTCCGAGGCGCGCCTCCCGCGCAGTACCCGAGGCTACCGCTGGAGTCGCCCTCGCGTGCGCCGTCTCACGGGGCGCTCCGCCCTTTCGGCCTCCTCAATGGCTGCTTCCGGGACGAAGGGCCGCTCCTTCCGGCCGCACTCGCCTCGGGGCGTTCTGAGCTGAGCTCCCGCTGCGGACATGGTGAGCGGCCGCCGGGTGGGCGTGGGGGCGGGCGAGGGCCGGGGCTGACCGCCGCTGTTTCCGCAGGCCAAGTACCTGGCGCAGATCGTCCTGGTGGGCGCCCAGGTGCTGGGCCGCGCCTTCGCCCGCGCGCTGCGGCAGGAGTTCGCAGGTAAGCCGGGCCGGGGGGAGCCGGGAGCGCGTTCTCCGGGCTCTCGGCCCTTGGCGAGACGCTAAGCCGCCTTCTCCCCGAGCAGCCAGCCAAGCGGCCGCCGAGACACGCGGGCGGACGGGCGCCCAGTCCTGGGCCGCCTCCAGCCTCTCCGGGATCAGCCTGCAGGAAGCTCAGCAGATCCTCAACGTCTCCGCGCTCAGTCCGGAGGAGATCCAGAAGGTGAGCCGCCTTCCTGGCCCGGGGATCGCGGCTGGGGCCGGCGCGGGTTCGGGCCGGGAGGGCTCTCGTGCAGCGGTCCCTGCGCGACGGTGAGGCTGGGAAGCAAAGGGCCGAGTCGCTGAATCTGATCCGGCGTTGTCTCCTTTTCTTCGTTAGAACTACGAGCATTTATTTAAGGTGAACGACAAATCCGTGGGAGGCTCCTTTTATCTGCAGTCCAAGGTGAGTCCAACCGGCTGGCTGCCTGGGCGGAGGGGGGAAATGACCCACTGGCCGCCTCCTGGAGCATCGCTACTCAGCTCTTTGTCGACGTTTTAGATCAAAGGCATCTCTCGGCTCCTCCCCCCTTTTTCTGGCAAAGCACCTTTAAGTCCTCCAGATTGGCATGGATGGGCTGCGTGTGTCACCCGGGTAACCTTGGAGGGTTGCGGCTGCCGTTTTCTCGGCCCCCGGAGCTGCTAAAGCCTCTTGTGATCTGCCCAGGCTTCTCCTGGGTTGTGCTGCCCTCTGGTGACTGCTGGCTGCTTGCAAGCGGGTGGGCTCTCTGCCACACGTGCCTCTGAAGTGCCAGTCCTCTGCCCTGCAGGTGGTGAGAGCCAAGGAGCGGCTGGACGAAGAGCTGAGGATCCAGTCCCAGAGAGAACAAGACCCGCCACACAAGCCAGGCACGTAGCATAGCCTCTCTCTTGCACCGGCGTCCCCTCTAAATTAAAGCTAGCCAATCAATTGCCCTCGTGTAGCTGGTCTCGCATTGTCTTCAGAGAAAGGAGGTGGCAGGATGCAGGAGATTCCAGATTCTCACACCGGCTCAATTGCTGAGGTTACAAGACAGCAAGGTTGGCTTTCCCTCTTTGTATATAGCTTTGCTGTCAAAACAGCTTTGCACCTGCTCCCTCAAGCCCAGAGAGAAAAACATCCTTCCCCAGCTTGCCCTTCTTACAGTGAGGGAAGCTAGGCAGGCCTTGCCTGAAATAATGCCAACCTGCCTCCTGAGGGCATTTCAGTGAAGACCAGGAAAGATTCCCCTCAAAGTGGGAAGTTATGGTTGACTGTCCAAGCGTGCCGTGTTCTCCCAGAACGCCTGACCACTGCTTGTGGGATCTTGCCTGGTCCGATTGCCCAAGACCAGCTCTGCTGCTGTGGGCCACACATGACACCAAGCCAGAATGTGGATAGCTTGGGTTTTGTTGTGGCATCATGGCTTAAATGGGGGGGAGGCTACTGAAGCCATCTTTTTTTTTGAACACCTCCCTTCCGGTCCCTGGACACACACCAACTGGAGACATCACCAGCACCTAGCAAGGCTTTTTGTGTACTTTATTGTCATAATCATCCTCTCTTCTGGAGGACTGGTGGGTCAAGTTATAGCTTATCTTTTTGTCTTAAAACTATACTAACAGAGGCAAGGGGAGGGCATCACCCCCAACATAACCTACAATCAAAAGGCACTTTGAAACAGGAAAACACTGACAGCCTGTGCCGTGCGTGCATCAGCTCTGAGGCCAAGTTGCCCAGCAGGATGCTTTGTGAGTGGGGGCCCCACAGCAGGCATGCATGTGCTTGGGAGGCCAGCTCCCCTGCCCAGGTGGTTCTGGATCCTTGGCACTATGTAGACCATTGAAGGTGTGCCAGGAATAGTCTGCAGGGGCTGCGCAAGGGTGGTGTAAAGATGGCATTGTTGCAGGCCCTTCAAAGGGGAGTTCCCTGGGGGGGGAAATACAGGGGGGGATACCCAGAGATGCCCTTTCTAAGAACGCGAATGGAAACATGGAGTGACCCACCAATACAAGGAGGGCAGTCAAGAGGTGATCTGGGCTGTTCCAGGAGGAGGACGGGGAGGAGTGCAGAGCGAATGCTGCTTCTCTGCTGGGCTCTTGAAGCTACTACAGCTGGTGGCAGGGCCTGTTTTTATGGTATGTTACCCTCCCCAGACCCCAGCTATCTCCTGGCCAGTCTTTGACAAGTTCATGGCTTCCTGCTGAAAGTGTTGCACACCATCTTTCCTCGGATCTGCATAAAGGGTGCCAGATTGCCTGGTGCTCTGCTTTCCTAAAAGCAAGGGAGGGAGCACCCCTCCCCCCATGAGAAGAAGGGGCTCTTGCAAGGTTTACAGGGCAGAAGCAGCCCAGGACCCAGCACAGACTGAATCTTCATCCAGGGATGGTTTGCTGTCTTCCCATCCTCACTGCCTCTGTAAGACTGTTGCACAGCTTTAATATAAGAAACTGCTTATAGGGGGAATTGCACAGTTCAATTCCTCCACGTCAGGGAACGGTCTCAGCAGCAGCACACACAATGGTGTGCCTTGTCATAGAGGCCTGAACCAGGCAGAAGCCCTGGGCCCAGGAGGGAGACAACTGATAGCACCTCTTCCAGGATTGGCTTCTGAACAGTAGCCAAATGGGAGGGAGGAAAAGGCCTCTGAGCCACAGGGTGGCACTGCTAGTCTCCAAAGAAAAATTGGGGGACAAAGGAAGCACCCCAAAGGTAGATGGGAGCAAACTGGGCACAGCAAGGCCTGCAGTGTGGCTGCCACCACCAAAGGGGTGACAAAAAGAACACAGCAGCTTTGGGCAAGATTCCTTCAAGTGGGCTTCCCCAGGTTTTTTTGAGCTAAAGCAGGACTGAGAAAAGGGGGGCCAGGTTGAGGAGTTCTTGCTGGGAATGAACCAACCAGCGCTGCTTCCTGCATTGGTGCTCCTGTGTCTGTCCTGCCTGGCATTAGGCAGAACAGGGAGAGGGGAGGGCGGAATTCCTGGCTGCTGCACTGGGAAGCTTCTTATTGCTTTGCTCAGAAGAGATGCCCCCCCTTGTGAAAAGCCCCAGTAGCCATGTGGAGAGGGAGGAACAAATGGGGGGGGGGAGAGAACAGAACTTTCCTGATTCCCAGGAGCAGCTCAGCAGGTCTTCGTCACAAGGAGTCTTGTATCACTTGCTTGGGTTGAATGCTGGAAAGTCTCTGGGCAAGATGGTGTCCCCTTCCAGTCCTCCTCTTTGCTCTTCCCTACTTAACTCACCACAGCTTCCTTCAGCAAAATGGAGCCAGCTGGGATTACCACCCAGCCTGGTGGCAGAGCTTCAGCGGTTGCCCCGGAGTTCATGCCAGTGGACAGGTCCAGGACGCCCCCAGGGAGCAGCGAGAGGCTGTCCGTGGTTGTCCGCAGCCTGGCCAGTTTCACTCTCTCACTGGCCTCCTTGCATCGCTGCAACCCTGCTGACTGGCTGCTGCTGCCAAAGTCCCCTCTGACGGGCCGGGCCCTGCTTTCCTGCCCTCGCTCAGCACCTGCCTTGGCAGAGGTGCCGGCCAGCAAGGACATCACCGGCAGCCCCAGGCTGCCCACTGAGAAAGGGGAGGCCAGCAGGGGGTTCTTGGCCAAGTTCAAAGGGGCAAGTGTGGGGCTGGGCAGGCCCGCGATGGCAGCTGTACCCAGCCCGCCGCAGGTTAAGGTGCTGAGATCCAGGGGGGCCTGGGGGAGCGGGAGAGGCAGGCTGTGGCTGCCAAAGAGGGCGGCCGGGGTAGGCACGATGATCTGTGCCCCACCGAGGTACGGCCTGTCGGCCATGAGGGAGGGGGGCTTGGTGGGGAGCTGCAGCTTCAGCAGCTCCTGCTGCTCGCGGGTGATGAAGTGCCCATGGGCCTTGATATGCTTGCGGAGAGAGCTGGGGTCGGTGTAGCGCTTGTGGCACCCGGGCATCTTGCAGTGGTAGGGCTTGTCCACATAGTGGGTGCGGGTGTGCTTGAAGCGGTCGCTGGAGTTGGAGTAGCGCTTGCTGCAGCCTTCATAGGGGCAGAGATAGGGCTTCTCCCCTGCAGGGAAGAGGAGGGAGCAGGGTTGCTTCAGGGAGGGGGGCATGGCCTGCCCTGCCCACCGCAGCTTTCCTCCCTCTCCCCAGCGGGGCAGGGGGGGCTTTGGGAGAGTCAAGGAAGGACCCTGACCCCCAGGCCAGCCATCCCACAACCCTCTGCAGGGACAGTCAAGGCAACTGGAGCCTGGCTGGCCCTTGTGGGAGGGCACATCCTGGGGGTCGGGCCTGTCTGCAGGGAAGCTTATTGGGGGGCCCCAATCGGACTCACCTGTGTGGGAGCGGTTGTGGATCTTCAGGTTTTCTAGCCGGGAGAAGCTCTTGTTGCAGGTGGGGCAGCGATGGGGCTTCTCATTGGTGTGCGTACGGATGTGGATCAGCATTTTGTACCTGCAGAGCAAAAGACGTTCACAACAGGGTGGCGGGGGGGGGGATTGGGGGCCTGGCTTTTTCCACTGCCCTAGCACTTCAAACAGCTGGGAGTGACCGTTGGCCCAAAGTGGCCTCCAAAGACCAAGGGCGGGCTTTCTGCCAGGGCCATAGGAAGTCAGCTCACAGGATGGCTTGGCAAGTCATGGCCTTCGGTGCCTTTGGGCCATGGCTGGGAGGCCAACAAAATGGCTACGGGGAAGCATGACCAGAGCAGCCATGCCCCCACCTTGCAGGAGCAGCTCCCAGGGAATCTGTGCCCCACAGTGGCTGGCCAAGGCAGGTCCATACCCTCCCAGCAGCATGGAAAGGATTACCTGGCATTGAAGCCCCGGCCATGGCGGGCACAACCCTCCCAGTGGCAACGATAGCCAGCATCCTTCTCTGGCTTCACATGAAAGTCATTGACATGGTCCACAAGGTCTTGCAGGAGATCAAACAGCTGGTTGCACTGTGGGGGGACAGCAAGGCCTGGGGTCACTGGAGGAGAGCACAGATACCCTGGCTTGGCAGAGGCAGTTTTGAAAGGAGACCCTGCTCACCTTCGACCAGCGGCACACCAGCTGCTTCTGCACAGCCGCATCCAAAGAGAGCCGCTTCTCCTTGGAGGGCGCCAGGAAAGCGGAGGCAGGCAGGTGCAGGGACCCTCCTGAGTTCAGAGGTAGGAAGAACTGGAAGGAGCTGCGGAGGCTGTCAAGGTAGCGCAGGGACTGCAGATCCTAGAAGGGGCAGGAGCGGTAGTTGGCTGGCAGCCCATCCCCCCCCCCGCTTAGCTAGTGAATATTTCTGTTCTGCAAAGGGCAGCAGAAGAGGCCCCCTCCCCAGGCTTGGCGACACAGGAGGGTCTGCCCCAGCTTCCCAGGAGAAAACTGGAAAAGCCTCGTTCTCAAGAGCTGGAAGCAAAGTCAGCTGCTCAGAAAAGCTGCCCGGTGTGGCCAGGCCAGGGCGAGTCTCTCTGCTTGCCCCCCTCCCCATCTTGCTCAGGAGTGTCAGACGACGAAAAAGAGCCATTGCCAGTGGCCATTACACACCGCACACGACACCCCTCAAAAGCCCCGGGGGGGGGAGGAACCTCCACAGGCAGAGGGAATACATCAGGGAGATTCAGAAAAGCTTTGGCACACGTGTGTGCTTCATGAGCCGGACACTCACACGCAAGCTGGTGCAGTTCACCAGCTCCCCATTGCTCTGCCTGTCCGGGGAGGTGGATGTGCTGCCGCTGGGGGTGGAGTCCCGGCCTGGCGGAGAAGGGGACAGGCTCAGGTCAACAGTGGGAGGCGAGAACCGATGGTCTCTCTTGTCTTGGCATTGGGGGTGTGGCTGGAAGCCTGGAAGGGGCAGAAGATGGATCAGAATCAGCAAGTGGGGTGCCCCATCCCCTCCCCTTTCCCGCCAGCGAGGTAACAGCCCAGCCCCCTTCCCTGGCTGCTACTCACCATCCGGAGGGGAGCCTGGGCCCACTGCCAGGTAGCCCTTGTCCTGTGAGACCGGGCACGGAGCTCGGCCCTTGGTGCTGCTCGGGGTCCAGTCACGCTTCTCTCGCACGGCCGGCAGTTTGGAGACACTCAGCTTGAGGTCCAGGGGCTCGTCCAGGGAATGCATGGGGGGCCAGCAGCGAGGGAGCAGGCTGCTCTAGTCAGCTGGACTGGACTGGGGGGGGGGGGCTTCCGCCGCCCTGCATGGGAATCGGGAAGGCAGGGATGTCTCACTTGCTTCTGATGGGCCTGGTGTTCCAGCCTGTGCTGTTTCCCCAATGGATCCTCTGGCTCTGCCTGCCCCAAAGCTGCTCTAGGGAGAATCCACCAGGAGGTTTGCCCCCCCCCCCCGCTGACTACTTCCGGGGGTGCAGGGGGAGGCTGGTCAAGTCGCCTGGGCAGCCTCCTCCTCTCCGCAGGGAAGGGTCTGAGGGGGCCAGCAGGTGGAAAACCCTAGCTGGTTGCTCCCTGCCCTCCTCCCGCTTCACCAGCCAAAACCCCCAGGAGATTTGGGGCGCAACAGGAGAGGGGGACAGTTGCAAAAGCAAAGCCATCAAGCTACCCTCGCACCAGGCTCTCACTTTGTGGGTGCCAGTACCCTCCCCCACAGGAAGGCCTTCCAATTACAAACAGCTGCTCCTTGTTCTTGCCTGCAGGCCGTGGAGCTGCCTAGGGAGGGAGGGAGGGGGGGTGCTTCCTGGCCCTGGCCGGGAAAAGGGCAGCAGGAAGGCCTCCCTGGGCACAAAGCAGCCAGGGGCTGGACAAGGAGGGCAGCCGGGCTCAGGGCGATCCTCGGGAAGGAACCCCAAGCCTTGCTAAATCCTATTTTCAAGGGGGCTGTATGAAACCGGAGCGCCCACTTCACGGGGAGGGGCAGGCCTGGGCACCCGACGTCTGCCGGGAGCCCAGCGACAGTTGCTCTTTGGCGTTGGAGCAGACGCGCCAAAGGCTCGAGGGCCCTCGCTCCGGGCCGGGCCCAACCAGCCCCCCCCTCTCCCGATACGGCCCCCCGCCCGCAGCTCGGCGGCCTGAAGCAGCGCTCCGCGCCCTCCCGGCGAGCCAAGCGGGCCAGCTGCTGACACGTGTCTCCGCCTTCTTCCCCGCCCCCTCAGACCGGCCTTCCCGAGCTTGCCAAGGGCCGGCCGTCTCCGCACTCGAGCCCCGCCGCTTCTGACACTCTGCCCATGCTCAGAGAGCGCCGCGCGCGCTGCTTGGCTGCCACCGGCCTGACTCGCAGGCGCTCCTTGGGGCGCTTTCGCCCGGAGCCGCGGCTGCTGCTTTTCCTCTGGCCGGGCCCCCTCCGCCCCCCCAGCCGCAACCGAGGGCCGGCCTGGCGCGGGAAGGGGCGGCGTGCGCTTCCCTCCTCCGCAAAGCCTCCGGGCAGGCAGCGAGGCCCCCCCGGCGCTCTCCGTGGGCCTGGCATGCGCGCCCCCCGCCCCCCTCCCCGCCAGGCTCTGGGCGGCACCTGCGAACTCACCCGACCCGGATGGCGCAGGCCGGCTCCTGCTCGCCCTCCCCGCCGGCCTTGGCGCTGGGCCCGGCCGGGCTGCGGCTCAGACATGCTGGAATGCGCAGGCCCCTCCCTGGAAGTGGGGGGGGGAAGGCCGCAGAGGGAGGAAGGCACCGCGGCGAGGCCAGCGCCGAGTCTGCAATGCAGAGGCGGGGGAGGGGGGGGAATCACAACACCTCGCATTTGAGAGGGGGGCAAAGATCTTTGCAATCCCCACACACATACAGAGACACCCCCCCAGCTCCGCACTCGGGCCAGCCTGAGGCCCAGTGGGGAGGGGGGGCGCTTCTGGCACCGACCTACACCCCATTCCTCTTCCTGTGACTGAGTGAAGAGGGGAGGGCAGTGATAAAGGAGATGCAGCCTGGCTGGGCGCAGAGCAGCTGGAGGGAAGGATGCAGGTGTCAGGCCCCACTGTGGGCCTCTCCCAGAGGAAGCCCTGGCTTAACCCAGCCCCTATCCTGGCACAGCCGCACCCCACACCTGGTGCGAAGCGGCCTGGATTGCTACCTGAACAGCCACCAGGGCCCACGAGTGAATGCGCCCAGAGGAGAGACAAAGGCAGTATACATAAAGATGCCATTGGGAAAGACCAGACCCCCCCACACACACACACAAAATACAGGCCACAGCAGGGCAGGCGTGGCTCAGGGGAGCCCTTGCCCACCTCCTAGCACATAAGCCACTGCTGCTGCTCTGCCCCCGCCTAACGTGGGGGCCCTACTTGGGTCCCCACCCTATGCCAATCCCTCTTCCACATGGAAAGCCCCCTTTGCCCAGCCCTGGCCCCTCCCCCAGGAGGAATGCCTGAGCAGAGTCCAGCCTGCCCCAGAGGCCTCTCGCTGTTCAGTGCCAGGAGCTTCCTGGCAGAAGAGCCTCTGGCCAGCTTCAACCCTGGCAGGCACCAGAAACCAACCACATGGCCAGGGCCTTATATCTCCTGCTCCTTCAGAGGGCCAGGTCCACACAGCAAGCATTTGGATCAAGGCTCCAGGATGCTCTGGTGGCAACAGCCTAGGGCCCGGGCAGTCTGGGAGAGGCCCTAGTGTAGTGTCCTCAGGATGTGAGCACCGTTTCCCAGGCAGAGAACCAGGAGCGACAAAGGAGGAGCTGCTGCCCTTGCTGTGTGGAGCAGCCCGCTGCCTCTGTGGAGTCTGGCCTCCTCCCGCTGCCCCGCCATATTCCAGTGGCCTCACTGGATTCCTGAGCTGCTCCCAGGAGCTGAGCTGGGTGGGACACTGGATGGGAAGCAGCTCCCCCGCCCTGCGCGAACAGCTGCCAAACCAAACTGGCCCCAGAGCAGAACATTCCTGGGAACAAGCCTTCCCAGAATCCAGAGGAAGTCGACCGAGAGAGCCGCTTCCAGGAGGGGCCAGCAGGCCTCCCTCCACAGATGTGCAGAGGCACCTAACGTCCCTCCAGTGTTGGCCAACAGGACACTGAGGGGAGGGCGAGAAGGAGCATCCAAGCCAAGCCTGGCAGACGGCAATAGCCGTCTTGCTGGCAAGACCCTCCCCAGCTGTTCTCTTAAGGCTTTGGCGCTTCAGGGGGAGGCTGGATGCCTGGGCATTTGGAGCAGAGCTTCCCCCACCCACTCCATGCCCGGGCACAGCTCCCTGCTCCTTCAACCCTGGCAGACCCACCTCACCACTTCCCTCCTGTACTGACTCATATCAACGCCAGCCAGGCAAGGACTGGATGTGGTCAGGAAGCGGCCAAGAACATAGAGGCAGCTCTCTCGGGCGCCCTTCTTCCAGCCGCCCCTGATTCACAGCAGACAGGTCCGCTCCAGGACGGTACCCCGGAGGGTTCTTCCAGGGACTCTCATTCTTCAGGATTGCCCCACTGGCGGGTGAAGGGCTGTTGCCTGACAGACCACACCAGCCTGAAGGAGACCACCTACTCAGCCACCTCTCTGGTGGGGTGGGCAGTTTAAAATCAGCAGTTGGTGCCTCTGCCTGGCTTTCAGCACCAGCCAGGGTGGGGGAGTCCCCCAGGTGGTCTCTTTGCTCAGGGGCTCCAGGCTCAGGATTATATGGAGAAGCAGCTGCACAGTTTAACCAAATCACAAGCTACTAGTCCTCCTTATCTTCAGGTAAAGAGGCAGTTCTGCCTTTTTCTACTCTCCAATCCCTCAGAATATATTGGGAGAATAATGGGACTACTGATCCTAGCAGATCAATGGATTATATATAGCTCATTAAACCTTTGGAGTAAATATGTACACCAGGGTGTATTCCTTTTTATTTATTCGTGATATTTATCTTATTTTTCCAGTAAAACAGAGTGCAAGGCACCTATAATAAAATACCAACAACTTTCATCTAGTTACCTGTTCTTCCTCTCCAAGAAACAGGACTAAAACATCAGCACTTGAGATAAACAAAATCAACATGAAGCCACAGCTGTTACTAAGTTGAATTAAACACCCAAAGCCCATCTAGTCGGGATGTGGGGGAGCAGGGCACTGGCAGAACCTTCTGACAGGAAGTCTCCAGAGGTCCCTCATATGTGCCCCCACCCACCAGCAGGAAGTCAGAGTTGGCTCTGTCCAGCTGGCCCACCTAGGAGTTTTCCTCCCACTCAGCTGCAGGTGCTCCTTGACTGGGCCCCCGCCTGCTCTGGGCAAGGCGCACTCCTGGCCATGATCCGGGCACCTAGCAGGCCCCTCCCAATCTGCGCAGCACAGCCCCATCTTCTCGGCTGTGGAGAGGCCCAGGTTCACCCCACAGAGGTGGCTGAAGGCTGTCCCAGGAGAGGCTTGGGGAAGCACACTTGGGGAAGCCACAGGTGGGATTCAAAGCGAATGTGCTGTCAAGCTCCCCAGAAAACAGCTATGGACAGTGCCTAGGGCAGGGATCTGTTCAGTTGGCAGCACCCCCTCTGCTCAGTGGCCAGCTCACCTCCCTTCCAGTGAGAGCAACTCCTTTCCTGCCTCTCTCATTTCCAAATGTTCTGCAGGCCAAGACATCTGCCCTCACACACACACCCCTGTCCACCCGAGCACAGCTCTGCCTCCTTGTGTGCAGATGGCAGCCTGAATGACTACTTCACCTGGGCAGCTGCCAGGCCCCAAGAGGTCTGCGGAGACACAGTTGTAATGCAAAGTCAGCCTAAAGGAGGGGGTAGGGGGAAAGCGGGAAGGAGATCACCATGCCCCAAGCCTTTGAGTGAGGGGCAGCCCTGGGAGGACTCTGCTTGAGGGGGGAGCAGCCCTTGGCAGCTCCCTGCGCTGGCAGTCTGGCAAGGCAGTTGGCAGCCTTTTTCTCTCTCCTACCCCTTCTGGAAATTGGAGGCAGCTGGACACATGGACCTGCAGCCTCTTTGGAGCAGGCGAGAGGGGCAACCCTGCACTGACCAGTGCCCCAAGTGTGCTCACGGCCAGCCCCTAGCTTTAGGGAAATGCAATCATACAGTGTGAGATCCTGAGAATCACCCAGAGCCCCCAGACTCAAAAGCAAGGGGGCCCTCCGATGGCAGGAAAACTATCAAGGGCATGGGAGACAATCAAGCTTCGCCAGTCTCTGTCGTTGAGGGTTTCCAGCATGATGAGAAAGGGGGGCTCTTGGGGTCCTTAGGTTGCCCTGCCCGCATCTCAGTCAGACAAGCTCCCCCTA